GTATATTTCATGCTCAATGACTGCATTTCTGGCATTGTCTGGGGCATCCACAAAACGTAGTTTAAGGTTATTTCCGTTAACTTTGTAACCTCACATTTATGGTTTAACACTGCACAAATGGATTTATGGCTGCCTATTTCCCACCCTTCCCAAATTTTTTATTGAAGTTGAACGATCTAAAAGTACACTCTGGAAAACATTGGCGCCCCCCTTCCCCCAACTCGGCGGCATCACTTCGGTGTGGAAGCAAGATGCGTCTGTAACAGTGTTGAAAGAAATTCACTCCCGATATGCTAATATTTTGTAGGCTCGAGGCGTGAATGGTTTGAAACAAATATATTTGACGAAAGTTGGGACATGGAAGAGAAATATGAGGATGAATTGGCGAGGTAACAAAACATTTGTCGTTACACATTTTCTGTTGAGTATTTTGTTTAACGAAAGAATCGGTAATCTGTTGCACGCCCCTCATGGAAATCAGCATTTTTTTGTTGGAGCAAGCATATTAAAATAAAATGTTTATGTATGTATGTGTGTATGTATGCGTGTATATGTACTATTTAAAGCACGCGTAGGAGTGTTTTATCAGATATAAAACGCGAGGCGCAGCCGAGCGTTTTATATCTGATAAAACACGACTACAAGTGCTTTAAATGGCTTAAAAAACGACTCATCTTATATGAGTTCATTGGCGAAGTAATTTTTAAAATAAACTTTGTCTAAACCGAGAAAATCAAAGCTAAAGTTTATGTAAATTAACATGATTTTTTATCACATATAAAGATACGACACGCTTGTGATTTTTCTTTGTGTTTTCCTCCTGAATTATTAATGAGTTTTTTAAGTACTATTTAAAGCACGCGTAGGAGTGTTTTATCAAATATAAAACACGACGCGTAGCGGAGTGTTTTATATGTGATAAAACACGACTACAAGTGCTTTAAATAGCTTCAAAAACGATTCATATTATACGAGTTCATTGGCGAAGTAATTTTTAAAATAAACTTTGTCTAAACCGAGAAAATCAAAGCTAAAGTTTATGTAAATTAACGTGATTTTTTATCACATATAAAACCACGACACGCTTATGATTTTTCGTTGTGTTTTGCTCCTGAATTATTAATGAGTTTTTGAAGTGTATAGATGTATCGGTTTCTAATATCATTATACAAAATGGAGCAGGAGCACGCTACCCGACAAAATCTGGCGCTGTTGGCTTTTGCTTACACCCCATGCAAAAACTCTGTTTCAAGGAGTGGGGAAAAGCCAAAGGCGCCAAAATTGTAGGGGTATTGTGTCTGGGGGCATGCTTCTGCGGTAACTAGAATTTTTTTATGATTAAGCTTTTCGTCAGGGAAGTTACCAACAGCTAGTTGTAGAAGCATGCACACGCCGTCACGTGTTAAATATTAGTTATACGTCTTGTACTTTTGTTATAGGGTAGAAGCTACACGTAGATTTGTATTATTTTTCAGTGTGTCCTTTAAAAGTCTTAATAAGTCACTTTTCAGTCAGTAAACTGATTTAAATTAGTCCAATCTGGATTTTTGTAGCTTACCTTGGGTGCAAGATTTCTACATTGGTGTCGCGAGCGAACCAGAAAAATCATGGCAATTATACATAACCTGCGCTTACAACAAAGTACCATCTATGGCCGATCTGAAGAAAATATTTGGCGTGCAAATTTCCTACTTTGTTGATTTTATCCAAGAAAGCATTGATGAGGATAGTAAACGTAGCAAGGAATCGCTACCTTGCCCTTCTTATTTGCGAGGACCTATTTCAGGAGATGAGCTTTGTGTGCAAGAAGGTAATAATAATGGTTTGTTAGCATTCCACAAGTGGCTGTTCTATGCTAAATTACAAAAAGGAGAACGAATTACAATACTATACACCTATGCCTATATGGTAAAAATAATTATATACGGTATACAATATATATTCACTAATATGAATACAGTGAAGTTATGTTGATTCATCAATGTCTGCCTTGGCCAATGTCATGAAATCATTCTTACACAAAGAATTAAATTCGCCAGCCGTATTACAAGTCCTAATTTCAGCTGCATGGAAGCCTATTAAATATTATTGATGCTGTATGCTGAAATGTCCCATTAACAAGCGGGTTTACTAGTTTGAGTTCACTGGACGACCTGAGAGATCTTCCGGGTTTGTAAACTTCCAAAGGAAGATACGAAGGCCAATCGGCCATATATAGTGCTTTAAGGTCCAGTTACACGTGCGATTTTTTTCTCGCGCCGGCAACGCAACGGGTTAAATTTCATTGCATTACTCGCGCGAGTGATGAAATTGCCCGTGTAACATATCTGGCGCGGCAACGCAATTGCAACCCGATATTCTCGGCAATCGTTGCGGAAAGTTGAAATGCTTGAACTTTCGGCAACGATTACCGAAAATATCGAATTACCCAGGCATTGTTTGAGCTGGAAACGCATGGGCTATGTTAAGATAGCCAATGAAATTCGCTTCTGTACGGACAGCGTGCTGTAGCGCCGCCAAATATCGAAGCGTTAAACAACACATTTCTGCTGGCTTGATTGATTCACGCATTATTGTGTCTTTCTTGTAAAGCGTTTCAGATAGATTATCAACTATCTTTTTGAAATGATCAAAATCCATTCGCATAAATTTTTCAAATCCTGTTGTGTCGTGGGCAGCCAGATCGGGAAGAAGCTTACCGAAATAACCTTTGTTTTTTCTCTCTAGAAGCCAGTGCCGGCTCCAAATACGTTTCTTTTCTTTAACCTCCTCGTCATCTTCTTCCAGCAAAAGCATTGCAGCCTATGACCACAAGTTCTTTCTTCGACGCCATGTTGTTGTCAGTGACGTTTGTGCCCGGTTTTTTCATGCAAATAGTTGCGACGCGGCTAATCATTGCTCGTGTCACCACTTCACTCGCGCGAGTAACGCAATGAAATTTAACCCGTTGCAAAGGCGTTGCGTTGCCGGCGCGAGAAGAAAATCGCACGTGTAACTGGACCTTTAAATATCAGTTTAGTCATGTGAAACTCCCTGCGATATTTGACTGGGAGCCAGCTCAATTTAAGTACGTCAGAAATGTTCGCATAAGGATTCACCACAAAGCCTGCAGCTGCAAGCTGTACTCGTTGTAGGCGTTTGATAAGGTATTCTGGAGCTGGGTGACATACCACGTCGTTGTAATCAAGAACTGACAGGGGAAAAAGGGTGAAATTCTTGACATAGCCAGAAATATGCGACATCCGCGATTGCGCAATTCCCCATGGCAGACCACAAATTCCACAATACTAGAAGAAGATGTTCTATATCTCGAAATGCGAAATTAGATCTTGTTAAAGTTAATGTTGAAGAACATCATGGACTAAAAATTGATCGCTATTGGCAAATTTTCGGTTTTCCCTCACAAAATGTATAAAATCGTGTTGGTTCTCTAAGGTTTAGTCTGTGTGAGCGCCAATTAAACCCCAGCTTTACATAAAGCGTATATGTCGCGTATTTGTGGCAATGAGTTTTTTTGTGGCAGACAAGGTGTCATAACACTTGGAGATTTTTCGAAGAATGTCACAGTTCCATTCTCGTGTAACTCGGTTCCTAGTAATTTGGTTGTTGTAGTCTTAAGACTCTAACGGACCACAAAAACCAAATTGATTGTGGTATTATAGAACTCACGTAAATTATTTTAGATTGGCTCCACACGTGAAAAGCTAAAACGTTACTTGACCTCGTGGTGGAAATCAAACTCGCAGGCTTTAGTTTGCTAATCGGTGGAGAACTGGGGCCGGTTGTTCAATGGTGGGTTAGCACTAACCCTGGGTTAAAATTTAATCTGCTGTTTTATTTTGTGTATTTGTACACATCTGTTCATTTGAAAACGTCAGAGAAGTAAACTTCTATCTATCCAGACAAGATCTCTGAAGAAATATTTCCAAATCTATAGACAAGTTGTCAGGAAGTTTGCTTTGAATTTCAGGTTAACCCAGGGTAAAGCCAACCCAGCTTTGAACAACCGTCCCCTGGACTAGCAAACCAAAGCTTTTTTTATGGTGGTCGGTCAAAGTTTCCTGCAATGCAGAGGCACCTGGAGAAAAATGTAAAAGTCTCAAGACATCCCCTTTTAATTTACCAGTGTTAAATATTGATTTCAGATAATTAAATTCAGTGGGAGACATAGTCACATAGAGCTTTATATTAGAACAAAGTTCAGTAGATTGTATGTGCAGGTGCGGGCAAGATACGCAAGGATAGTAAGAAGCAGCAGGTGTTTGGTGGGAGTCAGAGGATTTTAGTAAAATCATGTCACCTGAATTAGCTTTTTAACGTTAAATGGTGTAAATTATGATGAGCTCTTAATTTGCATAGGTGCAGAAAATACTTGGATAGGGAGGGGGCAGACCATGCAGACAAACTCTACTCAATTTCGTGGACATGTTTCCACAGAAAAGTTTGAACAATCCACAACAATCATTTCAAACAAAGTAACGAAAATCAAGTGTATATAATAACTTTGCGGAGTTGTATAATACTTGTGATTCCCCGTTACTAATCATTCTTTCGGAGGGGCTTCGCTCGCCTGGACTATCCATACATATCATACGTACTTTTATCCCTGTTTCACTAACCCGGATCTGGGGGTCCTCCCCCTGAATTTTTTTTGTATATTTCATGCTCAATGACTGCATTTCTGGCATTGTCTGGGGCATACACAAAACGTATTTTAAGGTTACTTTCGTTAACTTTGTAACCTCACATTTGTGGTTTAACACTGCACAAATGGTTTATGGCTGCCTATTTCCCACCCCTCCCAAATTTTTCATTGAAGTTGAACGATCTAAAAGTACACTCTGGAAAACATTGGCGATCCCCCCCCCCCCCAACTCGGCGGCATCACTTCGGTGTGGAAGCAAGATGCGTCTGTAACAGTGTTGAAAGAAATTCACTCCCGATATGCTAATATCTTGTAGGCTCGAGGCGTGAATGGTTTGAAACAAATATATTTGACGAAAGTTGGGGCATGAAAGACAAATATTGGGATGAATTGGTGAGGTAAGAAAACATTTGTCGTTACACATTTTCTGTTGAGTATTTTGTTTAGCGAAAGAGTCGGTAATCTGTTGCATGCCCCTCATGGAAATCAGCATTTTTTTGTTGGAGCAGCGTATTAAAATAAAATTTTTATGTATGTATCTGTGTATCTGTGTATATTTCAGAACCATCCTCAGAGATACGAAAAACTAGTTTCATATTAATCTGGCACTGCAATCGAGCCAACGAAAAATTCGTTCGCTCGAGCGGGATTTGAACTCACATCTTCGGGTATCTAGCCCGGCGCTCTACCTATTGAGCTATCGAGTCAACGGGGATTGGTAGCGAGTCTTATCCAATTTAAGTGCACTTAAACCATTCTCGTACCCAGAGCCCTTCTTACGCGCGGTAAACGGAGCACGACGAGGGGCTCTGGCCAAATCCATAACCGGATACCATAAAAACATGGTATCCGGTTAAGCACTGCGCATGCTCAACGTCAAACGCGGATAAACACTTCGGCTTTCTTGTTAGTTTCGTTTTGAAAGTTTTTGTCCAGGAAAACCCCACAAAAGCGGTAGGTTTCGCTAATTTTATTTATTTAAATCAATTAGTAGGTAAGACGTGATGTTCCCAATGCATGTTGATAGAAATTTAGTATATATTTCCCTCTTTAAACGTTGCCAAAGCAGTAATGGCTGTTGTACAGATTTTTAGACTTTTTTGTGTTTTATTAAAAGTCAACAGTCATACATAAGACATACTATACTGCAAATCATTTGAAAATTGTAAAAAATCGGTTTCTAGGAAGAAAATAGTCATCACAATTAACTTCATATTCTGGCTGGCTTTAATATTTTCTCTTCAGATGGCACTTCAGCTTGAACATGTAACACAGATTTGTTTGATTAACATCAGTGATTTGGAAATACGACGAGCATCTCCCATAAATATGCTGACTTTTTGCTACGAGAACATCACGTCTCAATCTATTAATTTCAATCAACTAATTGTTCAGTTAAATAAATAAAATTAGCGACATCTACTGCTTTTGTGGGCGATTATCAACAACAATCTTCCTAACTGCTTCGTACTGCTGTTTTTTCAACTTTAATAATGTCTTTTCTCCCAATTTTCAAAGGGAAACCAACGCTTCGTGGAGCGCTTGTGTATTTTTATTTATATTTACTATAATAAACCATATATTTCGTTGTGACCAATCAGAAGCCAGTTTGATATGGATTTGGCCAGAGCCCCTCGTCGTGCTCCGTTGACCGCGCGTAAGAAGGGCTCTGGGTACGAGAATGCACTTAAACTGGATAATACTCGCTACCAATCCCCGTTGACTCGATAGCTCAATAGGTAGAGCGGCGGTCTAGATACCCGAAGATGCGAGTTCAAATCCCGCTCGAGGCAACGAATTTTTCGTTGGCTCGATTGCAGTGTACGATTAATATGAAACTAGTTTTTCATATGTGTATATATGTATCGGTTTCTAATATCATTACACAAAATGGAGCAGGAGCACGCTACCCGACAAAATCTGGCGCTGTTGGCTTTTGCTTACACCCCATGCAAAAACTGTGTTTGACGGAGTGGGGAAAAGCCAGTGGCGCCAAAATTGTAGGGGTATTGTGTCTGGGGGATGCTTCTGCGGTAGCTAGAATTTTTTTAGGATGAAGCTTTGCGTTAGGGAAGTTACCAGCAGCTAGTTGTAGAAATTTTTGCACACCCCGTTACGTGTTAAATATTAATAGTTATACGTCTTGTACTTTTGTTAGGGTAGAACCTACACGTAGATTTGTATTACTTTTCAGTGTGTCCTTTAAAAGTCTTAGTAAGTGACTTTTCAGTCAGTAAACTGATTTAATTTAGTCCAATCTGGATTTTTGTAGCTTACCTTGGGTGCAAGATTTCTACATTGGTGTCGCGAGCGAACCAGAAAAATCATGGCAAGTATACATAACCTGCGCTCACAACAAAGTACCATCTATGGCTGATCTGAAGAAAATATTTGGCGTGGATATTTCCTGCTTTGTTGAATTTATCCAAAAAAGCATTGAGGATAGTAAACGTAGCAAGGAATCGCTACCTTGCCCTTCTTATTTGCGAGGACCTATTTCAGGAGATGAGCTTTGTGTGCAAGAAGTGAAGAAGGTAAAGGTGGATATGGAGCAGTCGGCATCCTAACTCGTGATAATGAAAAGCACTACGCAACCACCTGCTATCATGTATGTTTTAAGAACGATTTACCTAAAGATGACTTTAAAGAAGGTCACAAAATACCCATGCAGGACTGCGCCACGAACGAATCCATAGGTTGTCAAGGTCTGGTAAACATGGTTTGATACGTCTCTGTAGATTAAACTTTCTAATTAATTCCTCTATACTGTGATCTAAACTTCTGCAATAATAGAAATTTTCTCCGTCAGATCATGGACTAACCAGACATAGATAAACGAATGGTATTTTTCCATCTTCATGTAACAGATACACTAAAGATCCCGAATCACCTTCACTGGGAGAGGGTGTGTCATCTGGTATCTTGATTCTGTAGCAACGTTTTGTATCTTGGACAACGTTTCACATCTACACCGGTTGCTGCAAAAAGTATTCCTCTTATTTTTACTGCGCGGATTATTTCTATAGGCAACTCTTTCTTCTCGAAGAGCTTCAATTTGACTTCCTTTTTACTAGCCAGACCTGGTCTAATGCTTTTCTTGCCAAGGAATTTAACTATGTCGGAGCAATTTATACTTGGGTCCAGTCCAATAAGGGCAATATCATGGTTGTCATTGTATAAGCCATACCAAAACTGACCGAGTTCCCTTGTATGTTGTTGGTCGGTTGTATACACGCACGAGGGTGTAGTTTTAACGAAAACAACCATTGGATGATATGCATCATTGCGTACAACCGTCACTCTGTCACTGGCATAAAACAATTAGAACGTCAGGAGGCGAAATAGAACAATAGAATTTTTCTTATTATTATTCTTAATACGGTTTATTAAGTATATAAAATTGCACCAAGGTGAAATACTTCATATTTACGAAACGCTTTATACTCCATGAAGATAATTGCACATGCACTATTAAAAGAAAAGGTTCAAATAGATATAATTAATATTATAAATATATAATATTATAAACATTTATAATCAGTCATGTGTGGAATAAACTCCCACAAAACATTAAATGTGCAACAACAGTCAGCCATTTTTAGGCAATGTTAAAAAGCTTGATGCTAGAGGACATTAAGAAAGGCTGCACTTGTAATAGATGTCTATCTTAAACTATACGTACTTTTGAACTATTCTTATATTGTAGCTATCTATTAATAATTCTAGTATCCTAAGGTTTTTTTTATATATATATATATATATATATATATATATATATATATATATATATATATATATATTATATATATATATATATATATATTATATATATATATATATATATATTATATATATATATATATATATTATATATATATATATATATATTATATATATATTATATATATATTATATATATATATATATATTATATATATATATATTATATATGTATATATTATATATGTATATATTATATATGTATATATTATATATTATATATATATTATATATATTATATTATATATATTATATATATTATATTATATATATTATATTATATATATTATATATTATATATATTATATATATATATATATATTATATATATATATATATATAGTTGTAATAGTTAATGTCGAGCGCTTTTAACATGAGCCTCTGGCTCGGAAGATTAGGCGACCACTTCCTGCGTTTTTCGACTTTAATTAAATAAATCGTTATCATTAGCATACTGTAAACCTCTCCATATATTCCAGCTGTGACAAATGACACTATCGCTCAAAAAGCTCACTCACACTCAATGAGTGGAGGTTCAATCTGAGCTTCTCTTGAGTGTCAATGCTGTTTTTGAAAAACAGCAATGACACCAGAGAGAAGCTCAGATTGAACCTCCACTCATCGAGTGTGAGTGAGCTTTTAGAATAGTAGAATACGGACGTATAGAAAGTTATGCAGAGCCAGAAGATATTGCACCGAATCTTGAACATATATACCAATTATAATTGAACCTACAAAACCGACATAACGATTTCTAAATTAAATCAAAGAAGCGAACATTTTCTTGGTGATAATGTAATATTAACAAATCACTATCTTGAAGGCATATGCGAAACGTGGTAGGTAATCTTCGAGTTAAGCCCTTTTCGAGTTAAGCTCAGACAACTCCCAAACTATACCCATTTCCGTCAAGGGCTTATAACTCGAAGGAAGAAACACAACTTGGATAGTTTGAGTTAAGACCCGTGAAAAAAACGAAGGGCTTAACTCGAAGTCATTGAAAATATTCGACGCTCGAGTTAAGCCCCGACATTTGAAGGATGTAAAAGAGCAATTATTTGAGTCGTCCACAATCTAGCTGGAAATAGTTACCAGTTCATACGCATCCTACGCAGCGCGTATATCTGTTAATGTGTCATAAAAATTGCTCCTGGCTACTTTTTTAGTGCAAAGTGAAGAATTCACTCTGCAACTATTGTGGTTAGGGAGAAATTCATTCGAGACAGGTATGGTGTAAACAATCAGGGGGGAGGTTGCATGCATGTCTTTCTCCAGGGGGAACGGCACGTGTTTTTCCAACACCTCAAATTTGTGCATTTTTTATTTTTTTCATATTGCTCAACTAGCGAGATTTTTAGTATGGCTATGTTACCACGAAGATAAAGATGTTTGCCTTTTTCGACTATACTCGTTGTGGATTTCGACTGCTGTATTAATTAAAACAAATACAGTGATTCACTCGGTCCCAATCAATTGCCAGAGGGCAATGGCAATGCATGTCAATATGTTTTACTGTGATATGATATGATATAGGCTATGTCCTTATCTCATTATGATGCAGCTGATAAAATTTATTGCCCAACCGACACCGTATAAAAACATGAAATACTGCAGTACTGCCAGCAGGGGCGCACATTAGGGGGGGTTTAGGGGGGGGGGGGG